TTAGTTGACTGTTCTCGTCTAATTGCTAGGCAATAGGTTTTCATTACCTAAACAACCCAAATTTATTCGGTGAAATACAAACCCCTGGTGCACTTATAAGTGAAAATACGCACTGTTTCCCGATGAAGTGCATTCTTATCGCTACTAAATTATATCAACCTTTTGTGGAAGTAATCAGAGTGCCCATAAATTAAATCGGCTGTCACATAAACGATTTAACAAAGCAAAATTGATAACGAAAGTAAGCGACAAATTGTCGTGCATTTAACAACTCTAGGAAATAATCTTTTAAAGCGAAAAAAACAAACCACTTGGATACAAATCAGTGTTTTGGAGTTGGATTACTAATTAAAACACTCCCGTGTATTTTCTCTTATCGATCTAATTTATTTTTGATATTGACAGAACGAACGTTAAACATAACAATTGAATATCTCATTAATTTTCCCTATTACTTTGATCTGATCAATGACAAATAACATAAATTTGTTGGGACACAACATTCAGCCCCCTATTGAAAACATCCAGGTTTTCAACATTCGTGGAGTAATATCTACATAACTGATTTGAAATACAGAAAACATTGATGAAATTAACTACTACAAATAATGCACAAATATACAACATGGTGATAAGTACAAATTCAAATGAGTAATACTACTAGAGTAACAAACGAGTAACATTAAAACTAATTAATATAAAATGTAAAAATAACAAAGTTGAACTGGACAGACATTTTAGTGATTGTCTATTGGTAATACACATATCTTAGTAATAGGACGTTTCATTACACCACCTTTCGTTTTGATAATAACTACGCGCACTTTTTCATCACTACCACGGTGAATATCTAAGACGCGTCCATATGACCATTGGAGTGGAGGCAGGTTTTCTTCTTTTATGAGCACCATGTCTCCTATTACAATATCTGCTTTGGAGCATTTCCATTTCGTTCGCTGTTGTAAGTGATGTAAATATTCTCGTTGCCAGCGCCTCCAGTAATGTTGCTTGATTTGGTCAACCAATTGCCACCGGGAGAGTGTGTTAATTTTTAATGTCGTAACGTCAGATTCGATGGGAGCAACTAGTATGTCTCCAATTAGGAAGTGACTGGGGGATAAGGCGGTGAGGTCGTGAGGATCGTTACTTATGGGAGTTATAGGTCGGGAATTTATACACGCTTCAATACCCGTTAACACAGTGTACATCTCCTCAAAAGTAAGATTGGCGTTGCCTACAACGCGTTTTAAATTGTGTTTGATTAATTTAATACTAGCTTCCCAAAGTCCTCCATGATGAGGTGCTCTGGGCGGTATAAAATGCCAATTAATATTTTGGGCCGTTACATTCAATTTATTTTTTAATGATTCTGAGCGCATAAGTTTTTGAAACTCACGATCAGCTCCAACAAAGTTCGTGCCATTATCCGAGTAAAAATCAGTTACATGACCTCTGCGAGAGATTAATCGTTTAACTGCTCCCAGAAACGAGTCAGTAGTCATATCTCCAACTAATTCTAGATGCACCGCTTTGGTGGCTAAGCAAATGAATAGCGAAATATAGCCTTTAATTAACCTTTTTCCGCGACCTCTGCCTTCTTTTAACGATAAGGGACCAGCATAGTCCACTCCACAATGAATAAATGGTCTAGCAGCAGAAACGCGGTCAAATGGTAAATTACCCATAATTTGTTCGGATGCGATGGGATTTACTTTATAGCATTTTATGCATTGTCTCAAAACTTTTTTGATTTGATCTCTACCTGCAATAGGCCAATATCTCTGTCTAAGGGAATTTAAAGTAGTTAGTTGTCCTGAATGTAATAATCGAGTATGTTCATCGCGAATCAAAGCCGCTGTTAATTTATGTTTTGGCAAAATAACTTGATGCTTGGTGTCGAATGATAAACTCGAATGACGCAATCGTCCCCCCACTCTTAACAAACCATTTTCGTCTAGGAAGGGATTAAGTGATAAAATTGTACTTTTTGTTGAAATGCTCTTATTATTTTTTAAATTTTGTATCTCAACATGGAAGGCATGATCTTGTAATATACGAATTATGCATATTTCCGCATTTCGTTTTTCTGTAAATGTTAAATTTCCTACTAATTTCGAAGATTTATTATTTACATTATGAACAAATCTCTTACAATATGCAATAATGTGACATAAACGTCTAAATGATGAAATTTTGTCGAAGACTGGTAACATTAACGTCGTGTTGCTTAAAAAACATTTTGTTTGCGTTGACTTTAAATCAGGTATTTCTGATAGTTCATTAGTATTAGGTTGTACTGGAGTTTCATACTTTAACGTCATTAGGAATTGTGGCCCATGCCACCACATATCAAGATTCACCAATTCGCTTGGAAGAGTGCCACGTGAAATTATGTCTGCCGGGTTTTCGTTAGTCGAAACGTGATTCCACATATTAGCATCAGTATTTGTTTGAATAATCGATACGCGGTTTGCAACAAAGGTTTTTAGTTTCGAGGGTTCCATTTTTAACCATGCCAACACAATAGTTGAATCAGAGTAAAGTGATATTTTATTGGGTTTTATATTTACAACTGGGATAATTTTATTCATTAAACGTGTTAGAAGTAGCGCTGCGCATAGTTCAAGCCTAGGGATGCTTATCGTTTTTATAGGCGCAACTTTCGATTTTGAGCATAATAAATGGCTACTTATTAGAGAATTGTTGGAAACGGTTTTAATATAAATGCAGGCGCCGTATGCCCTTTGAGAAGCATCGCAAAACCCATGAATCTCAAATGTTGAGAACCTAGGTGATCCCACTACTCGTCTCGGTATTGAATACGTGGAGATCGTTGGCAAATCTTTGCAAAATTGTTGCCAAATAGTAAAAACGTTCAAGGGTACTGACTCATCCCACCCGATTTGCAATTGCCATAAAGTTTGTAATAATATTTTAATGGTAACAATTATTGGACCCACTAATCCCAAAGGATCATAAATTTTGGAAATATTAGATAATATTGCTCTCTTTGTTACTTTATTATTCGTTACTTGATAATTATTTGAATATTTTAAAATATCTTTCTCGGTATTCCATAAGAGCCCTAAAATTTTGCTTTCACATTGTCTATCGAAATTTACGTCATTACATTCGTTCATTTGGAATTCGGGGATCAACCGTTTATCGTTGGAAGCCCATTTTGCTAAATGGAAGCATCCATTTCTTAATATGCGATCAATTTCGTTTCGTAATTGTAACATTTCTTCGATGGTATCAGCGCCCGTAAGCAAGTCATCAACGTAAAAATCTTCGAGAATTGCTCTTTGAGCGCACGGCATCTCAGTAGCTTCTAAACCTAATTGTTTAAGGCAACGTATCGCGAGGTATGGTGCCGAGGTTGTACCGTACGTGACGGTGTTTAATTGATAGGTTTGCAAAGAATTGTTGCAATCTTCCCGCCATAATATTTGTTGATATTTGCGATCATCGGGGTGTATTTCAATTTGGCGATACATTTTACAAATATCTGCGGATACTACATACTGGTAGGTTCGAAAACGTACTAAAATCAAGAATAATTCTTGTTGAAGAGATGGACCGACGTGCAGTAGGGTGTTCAAGCTTAAACCCGTGTTTGTTTTCGCGCTTCCATCGAACACTACTCGTAACTTAGTTGTTACTTTGTTCTCGTTAACTACTGCATGGTGTGGTAAATAGAACGCAATGTCATTTTTGCACGAATCAATGTTTGATACTAAACTCATATGCCCTAATTTAATGTACTCATTTATAAATTCAGTATATCTAGTTTTTAAGTCATTATGTTTATGAAAACGTTTTTCCAGAGAATAAAATCGTTTTTCTGCGTGAAAATTCGAGGAACCTAATTTTGTAGGATCATTTTTAAAAGGTAATCTGACTACGAATCTACCATCCTTATTACGTGTATATGTATTTAAGAAATGATTCTCGCACTCTAATTCATCGGCTGAATATCGACGTATAGGTTATCATTGATTTCCTCTATCTCCCAAAAACGTTTGATATTATCATTGATCACGTTGAGGTTTAATTGATTTACACTACGATCTGTAATATTATTTGATAAATTGGAAAATGTGGCATTTCCTCCGAATACCCACCCTAAATGAGTTTTTTGCAAGATCGGCTGATTTTGAAGTTTTATTTGTCCCACGCATAAAAGTGTCCAAAAAATCTCTGCTCCGAGTAGTACGTCTATGGGCAACGATTTGTTGAAGTTATTGTCAGCTAATTTGATTCCCGATGGAATATGAAATGAATTTTTATCGAAATCAAAGCTCGGTAAACAGTCTGTAATTTTTGGTATAGCTAAGCAATCCATATTAGCCTTGAATGCGTTATACATCGATTTGATAGTAACATTTACTATTTTATTGGCAGAAGACACGTGCTGATTAATACCTACAATTTTCCAATCGATGTCGTTAGCGGGAAGTTTTAATTTGTTTGCGAGGTTGAGTGTAATGAAATTAGACCGGCTTCCTGCATCTAATAATGCCCTACATTTATGCACTCTGCCGCTAACGTCAAAAATTTCCAAACTCGCGGTCGATAAAAAGGTATAAGCGTCCTAGATCCTTCACTCAACGGTATAAGCCTTTGACGTTAGTGTTTTACTGACATGATTACAACTACTTTCATTAGATGTCGATGGATTATTATTTAATGTAGATGATTCAAATTTTTGATTTCTAACGTGAAAACGTGTATTGTGCTTTCGATGACAATGTTTGCACCCCATTGATCTACAATTAATCGTACCTACTGTGACCTTCGCGCAAGCAATTTGTGCAAAGTTTTAACCGCCTGGCTTCCTGAAGAGCATTTTCCGGGGTCAGTTCGTTAAATTTGTCACATGCAAATATAGAATGCGATTGATTACAATAATGACATTTTTTCGGGTTCGATTCTTGCGGGGGAGCACTGCATTATTTACAGAACGTTGCATAGGCGTATATTTTGGTTTTTGAATAAATTGATTCGAAGTCATTTTACTTCCTTTATCAAATTGTAGCGATTCCAATATGTCACATTTATGTTTTAAAAATTCAAGTAGTTCGCTTAAGGCAGGAATTTCAGAAATAATTTCATCCTCCCACTCACGTGTAGTAAGATAGTCTAATTTATTAACTACTAAATGAATAATTAAAACATCCCAATGATCAGTAGGTAATCCTAAGTTATGTAACACTTTTAAATTTAACGTTAATTTATCTATTAATTGACGAATTGCAGTAAAGTTGTCTTTTGTTACAGTTGGTAATGAAAATAAAGCATTTACGTGCGTCTTAATAATGAGTTTTTTATTATGATAACGTTTCATAAGTAAATCCCATGCAATAGGGTAGTTGTCAGAAGTGATAGGTAAGGATTCTAAGACTTGCGCCGCTTCCTTCTTTAAACATGATTTTAAATAATGCAGTTTCTGGATATTAGACAGATTTTTATCATTGTGGATTAAGCTATTGAAAGTTTCATAGAATGACAACCATTGTTCATAATTACCTTCAAATGATGGCAAATCTATCGCAGGTAATTTAAAAGCACTTTTTGGTTTGAATTCAATAGGATTTTCTTGTAGTTGAGATACGATACTGACCGGTTTTAATTTAATTGTTCTCTCGCTAATGACATGAGCTTATAATACTCATTTTCGAACCTTTCGCTTTCTTGCAAATTCCTAAGTGACTCGTCTTCATTGTCTTTTATAGCATACCAAACATCAATTTCTTGTTGTATACTAGAAAATTCACTCAACAAGCCCTGCAATTTATCATATCTAACCTTTAATTCTGTTAATTTGGCATTATCGTATGAATTCAAAAAAGTAGAAAATCGTGTTAGTTGACTTTTTATACCACCACGTTTAGCAATTAAAACCTTTATGTCTGACATTTTTGAGAATATGTAACGTGAACGAGAAAAAGAATTGTGTACTACAATATAGGATTAGGTAATTATTAATGGATGGAGATTTACGTGAATTGATGGCAAATATATGTCCAGCGACGATTTTTCTTAATCAATGCAATGATTTTGGTTCCATGTTCCGTGGCCAGTACTTGAATAAAACGTAATGTTCTATAGCGTTTCGATGATGCGATTCTTCTTAAAACGAGAGACAGGATGACAATTTCGATGATACGGCAATTCTTCTTAATTGAAGACGTTCAGCAATTGAAACCAACGAGAGACGCGACAACGATTTTTTACTCGAAGGACCATGTTTTGGAGTTGGATTACTAATTAAAACACTCCCGTGTATTTTCTCTTATCGATCTAATTTATTTTTGATATTGACAGAACGAACGTTAAACATAACAATTGAATATCTCATTAATTTTCCCTATTACTTTGATCTGATCAATGACAAATAACATAAATTTGTTGGGACACAACACATATCTTTCATCTTTTGGAGGTAAAGGTATTACCCAAAAGACTAATCTAATCCTGAAGCGTTGCATTAGTAATCCATTAGCCACAGAATATAATTTTTGTGGCAAGAGAGCAGGAAAACACCCTTTTTTTGAATTGAACTTGAAAAATGCTATTGTTGGTATGTTTTATAACTAAAAGCATAATTGATTACTAATGGGTTTTACTTACAGCTACAGTGAGACGATCTACAGATTGTACCGAGAGGGAAATTGAAGATATAATTAAGTGCTGGTTAAAACACGCTCCGCAGCGCCAAAAGTTACAAAATTTAAAAAATAATGCCTAAGCATTCTGTTTCGAAGAGGCAAATGTATCGCAGAGTGGCAACAGCTGTCCAACACACATTATTAGATCTTTCAATAGTTTTCCAAGCTGTTCTTTTGAAATTAATTATGGTTCCAATAATAACTCTGACGAAAATTCTGATTCTGATTCAATCTCTGATTCCGAAAATGTAAATTCTGATTCTGAAGGTAAGAGCCATGTATTTAATGACAATGTTAATATATAAAAATACTAGGAAAAATCAGAAACTCCCAAACATAATGCACTTGCCAATAGTTTAAGAGAATGGGGATTAAAATTTAAAGTTTCACATTCGGCATTCACAGATCTATTGCATATATTACATGATTCCCATCCCTACTTACCACTTGATTGTAGAACTTTGTTAAATACACCATCAAGTTGCGCTACAAAACAACTGGATAGTGGAGAAATGGTTTATCTGGGTATATCTCCTAATTTACAAAGAATTCTGTCTCCTCTTATTTCTACATCACCAAACTTGATTAATATTAAATTAGCGTTCAATGTTGACGGCCTGCCACTATTTAAAAGTTCCAATGTAAATATTTGGCCAATATTATGTCAGATTAAATCTATTACCGTAGAACCCTTTGTTGTTGCCATATTTAGTGGCTCTGGGAAGCCTGTGCCATTAAGTACATATCTGGAAGACTTTGTTGAAGAGTTGAAGGTTTTAATACATAATGGTATAGAGATAAATGGAATTACAATATCAATTTCAATTTATGCTTTTGTATGTGATGCTCCAGCACGATCTTATTTAAAAGGAATTAAATCTCACAGTGGTTATTCATCATGCGAGAGATGTATTGAAACTGGAGATTATTTGAATGGGAGAGTAATATTTAAAAAAGTTCATAGTACAAAGAGAACAGACCATACATTTACTTTACAGTCAGATGAATCTCACCACTTATATGACTCTCCACTGGTACAAGTGCCTGGTTTAGGACTGGTGTCGCATTTTGCTATAGATTACATGCATAATGTTTGCCTGGGAATTATGAGGAAACTCTTAAACATTTGGATATCGGGTGCACTACATGTCAGATTAGGAAATCAAATTGTAAAAAAAATTTCAGATGATATTTTGTTGTTGAGTGATTATATCCCATTAGAATTCAATAGGAAAGGACGATCATTGCAAGATTTGCAGAGATGGAAAGCAACAGAGTTCAGAACATTTCTGTTATATGTATCACCTATTGTTTTAAGAGATAAACTTGATGTTGCCATGTACGAACATTTTATGCTTTTCCATGTTGGAATTACCATTTTAGTATCTTCAAGTCATATAAACAATATTGGTGCCAATCGCGCTGGCATATATTTAAATGAATTTGCCAATCATAGTCCTAATATATATGGTTGGGAGTTTCTGATTTATAATGTCCATATGCTTTGTCATTTACATGAAGATTGTAGTAAATATGGCCCACTAGATGAATTTTCGGCTTTCCCTTATGAAAATTTTTTAGGAAAACTTAAATACTTCGTAAAATCGCCTAAAAAACCATTGCAACAATTATGTCGTAGGATACAAGAATTGCAGTTTCTTTCAAATTCTTTTAAGAACAATGATCAGGTAGTGCCTACATTAGAACATATTGGAATCCTTCCTATAATATATAGAGGTAGAATAGATATAAAGCATTTTAAAAAAGTTGTATATAATAAGTGTACTTTTATTATTTACCCAGTTTCTTCTTATAACTCATACTGCATTACTAAAAAAAAAGGTATTTGAAATACATAATATCATTAAAGATGGTAACATATACCTTGTAGGCAAATCATTTTCACATTATGAATCATTTTTTGACTATCCTTTATCATCTGAAGATCTGTGCATTTATGCTGTATCTAACCTTTCGCCTTCTCTTGAAGTTGTGTGTATTAAAGATGTAGTTGCTAAGTGTATTTTGTTTCCATTTTTAAAGAAACCTGATTTTTTTATATCTTATCCAATTATTCATAGTATACAGTAATCGTTTTTTTTCAATATTAGATTTTACTAAAGTAGTTTGTACTTTTAGCGTATAAATAGAAAAATAAAGTTATTTAGTACATTTATTGTTTAATTTTGTCATATTCCCAGAAAAATTAACCAATTCCCTACTTTTTATTTTGGGCTATTGACCCCATAAAATGCCGTCATTCTAACGTACATTGAATGTCGTCGTTTTAACGTACATATAATGACGTAAAGGGTCTATGACATAATGACGTCATATTTAGGTATAAATAAACTATATAAATGACGTTAAAATAACCTTTGGAGTGGCGGAAATATGACGTTATTGTGACGGCACTCTGCTCACTGGGAACAGAGTATTTTTTTCTATTTTTTTTGTAATGCGGTAAAAAAGATATACCCAACATGACTGTTTCTGAAGTTAAACATAAAATTGTCTATCATGCTAACTTTGAGAGTAGACTTAGATTTGGCATTACGTTTTGGGGACAAGGCGTTGATCACAATAAGGTTTTTAAGATACAAAAAAATGTCATTAGAACGATGTACAGGTTGAAATATCGTGAATCGTATAGGGGAGTGTTCAGAAATCATGGGGGTTTACAGTATAGTTGAATTCCGCAGTTCTAATTTAATAAGCGTGTACCTGAAACCATAAAACCTTTTTTTGGACAGTAAAAGTTTATTTAAAGAGGCTGATTAGCAAAAAAATAATGAACATGTGCGGTTTTAAAGGTTTATTCAAAACGATATGATTATGGCGGGCTCTGTGACGTAATAAGCCCGACCAATCAGCTCCTAGAACCATTCAGATGACATAACGACTTGGCAATATTGCAGGAGAATGGCATTTATAACTTGCGTCATCTGTCACAGGCACTTGTCACTTTCGTGCTAGATGCAGTTAAACATCCCTCTCAAAACGTCAAATGTGACAAACGTCATACCCTCGCGTAAGGTTGCCAGCTCACTTCTACGTGATTGGTTGTAGGTTTATGACGTATTTAGACTGAAGCGTTTCAAATTCGGACTAAAAACACAGCTTTTCAATAATTTATTTTGGGTTTATTTTACTCGCAAATAAAAATTGAGGACACACGGGTCTTTTTATTTTTAATGTACTTTGTGGATCAGAAATAAAAAATGAAGGCGGGATGACCCCATTCTAACTTCATTCGGACTCTACATCTACGAAATCTGCTTGTTTATATTCAAAAATAAAAATATCTTCAATTTAAACAAAATAAGTCACAATTACGATACTCGTAAAAATGCGGCATTATATAACTATCCAGGGCATAAATTGTCAATGACTGAAAAAGGGTGCTACTACGCGTGCATTAAAATGTTCAACAAACTTCCTCTTGACATTCGAAATGTGAAAAACGTAAAACAATTCAAACAATTGGTGCACCACCTAGTGAGAAACTATTTCGTGAAACTCGCTCCATGACGTCCACCTTTTCAACGATGGTAAACTTTGGGATGCTTGATATTCTTAGAAGAATTAATCGAATACAGTGTATTAACGAAATTAGTACAGATTTAGGTATTTAATGTCTAATATTTCTCTGTATTAAATTAGCAATTGCAGGTTCACAATTTCGATTTCCAAGAGAGGAGCATATTAAGCTTGGAACTGGTTATTACGATCAAAACAAGGAAATGCCTACAGAATTTGTAATAAATCATATTCTGTTCGCGGCGCAAAAAGACGCCGTGAAATGTTGGGCTGATTTAGGAATTGCTGACCAGCATATAAACGACTATTGTAAGGTTTTCGAAGTTAGCAGTATTAAAAATGCCAATAAAGAAGTCTATTCTCAAGTCCTAAGGCTACAAAAAGAAACCGAAAATGTGATAGAAGATGATGCACTTTCCGATAGCGAGTATAATCAAAATATGATCAAAGATGCCACTATACTAAATTCCAGGTTGACGTCTTTTAAATCATTGCACACCCTAGATTTAAAAGATTATTCAAGATCTAAAAATGATACACAGTCCTTTCTTGCATTAAACATAAATGGAAAAGTTATGAAGGTGCGTAAATCATCTTTGATATGGTATTTTTTTGACAAAAATGGACAGCTCAGTAGTGACAGGCAGAGTTGGACTGGGTCACTGGGTCAACTGGGTCACTAAATTAAACTGGGTCACTGAGTCGCTGGGTCACGTCATACTCTTTTCAGTTAGACCCAGTGACCCAGTTTGACCCAATTTCACCCGGGGACCCAATTCGACCCAATCACCTAGTTTGATCGACTAACGCAGTTAACTCAGTGCCCTCGGTTCAAGTGTACAGATTATGAAATAAATGCTTAATGCTGGTTTGTTGAAAATAATACTCGATTGCTTGACAACTGCCATTTCTGTGATGTTTGCTTTAATACTGCCGTAAAAAACTTTCCATGTCCCGAATTGTATTAGAATAATGTTATTTCTTTGCTTCAGGGCTTACCAGTTTGCTTACAGGTGTTCATTCACATTTAATTTTTTTCTACTAGTTAGCTTAATCCAAATAAATCTTTTCTCTAAATACTTTCATTGACTACTTGACTACAAACTATAAACAAATGCATTTGATTTTTTTAGGTATTAGTTCTCTTGAATGAAATTGGGCTACGTGCTTGTTGCCGAATATTATTAGGAAGTTTTTTTTTTAAATTAAAAGTTACTTGAAATTGTTTTGGATGATACCTAACAATAATTTAATTACTGGGCCACAGGGTCAAGACGGGTCACTGAGTAAAGCTGGGTCAAGATGGGTCACTGGGTCACCGGGTCAAACTGGGTCACCGGGTCAAGCTGGGTCACTGGGTCAAACTGGGTCAAGTTGGGTCACCGGATCAGGCTGGATCAAGCTGGGTCACCGGGTCAAGCTGGGTCACCGGGTCAGTAAACTAACTGGGTCACTCTATGCTTGACCCAGTCCAACTCTGGTGACAGGCTTCTTCGTGTTCGGGGTCAGACTGAATTGAAAAGAAATTGTTTAAAAAATAATTTAAAAAACAGATCCAAAATTGTTGAAAAGCGAACTAAAGCTCATGGGAAAAAACAAAACACGAATAGTGAGCCAGATGAAGTATCTGACAATCATTCTAAAACTAGCTCGTCATCCAACGAAGACTGGATAGAAAGTGGAGATAGTCTGGATGATGTAGATGTAGGAGATAGTGGGGAAATGACGGAGCTCTACTCAATTGATGACCTAAAATCAGGGAACTTTGTGCTTGTGGAGTTTACAGCAACTAAATTACCAGGCAGGCGAGCTACTTGCACGAAGTATAAATATGTTGCCGCAGTAACACAAATAATTAATAGCGACGAAGTAGAGGTTTATTGTCTACAGAGTCAAGAAGATGCAAAAACATTCCAATATATATATAGACAATGACATATCTGTGGTGGAACGTAAAAACATAGTTGGAAAATTACCTGACCCCGAGGGGTTAACCACTGTGCGCAATACTGTCACAAATTCTGTCGCAATCCCCCGAAATCGCGGAAATCGCTATGGAAATCGCAAAATCGCGTGGAAATCTTGTGAAATCGCGTGAAATCGACCGGCAATCTTGCGAAATCCCGCGAAATCCGTTAATTTTTGGAAATCGGAGCCTCACAGATAACCTTGAGTTTCAAGTTTCAACCAATCATAGCGTTCCAAAAATTTCCCGCGTGATTTTCAGCGCAATGCGTAACGGAAGTGTTAACTTTCTGCAGCATAAACAAAATACTTATTATATTTCAGCCTTGTCTCGTAAATAAGTAGAATAGGTAGTATCTCCGACGGCATCGAGTCTCACACAAATTCAAAGCAAATAAAACCCCCGCCCGGCCCTGCATACCTAATCCATCCTCTGAGGTTCCCCCGCATCGCATACCTTCAGTCTTCGTTTGTGTGTCGAGTCGACCGCTACGTACCACTCCGCTTTCAACCGTGTTGTTCATTAGATAAATAGGTTAATATGCCTAAGCACAGCCGTAAACGGCAACATTCTCGTAGTCGATCTAGAGAACGGGAAAATCGGCGTTTAGGAAAACGATTGGCCGAAATGCAGAGACAATTAGATGAAATTAGTAGTCGGGAAAAATGGCAACGTTTGGAGAGTATGGAGAGCTCTAGAGACGATGTTGCCGGAGAAGCGAGTGCATATTTTTCACCGTATGATAGTGATTTGTCGCCTCGCCACTCTGTTCGTGAAACAGTTAGGGTGGATGTCCACCAGTTAAACAGTAAGTACCAAATTGTACGTTTTTGGTGACGTACATTTTAAAGTGTATGTTTTTGGCAACATACATACTTGTTGTTTTTGGGGACAACATAATATTTTGAGTATGTTTTTGGTAACATACTTACCTACATTAATTTGTTGTTTTTGGTGACAACATACTTTAATGTTCAAAGTACCTATGTTTTTGGTAACATAAGTACATATATATATTTGTTGGTTTTTGGTGGCCTTTGTTTATTTTTAGTGAAAAAATAAACTTAATTTTGAAATTATGTTTTTGGCAACATATTTTTTGTACAACCTGCATGTATTTGTTGTTCGAGACATGATATTATGTGTTTTTGATAACACTTTAATATGCTTATTGTTCTGATTCTGTTTTAATACAAATTAGAAATTAACATGTCTCTTTTATTGCTTCAGATGATTCTGAACAGCAAGAAAATAATCCTCAGCCCCCGATCGTGCAATCAGAGGAAGCAAAAGGAAAATCTTTGAGTTCTGAGGTTTTGCAGATACTTGGCGATGAGCCAATAATTAAGACCGTCTTAGGACCTCCAATTTATGAGGCAGTAGTCCCTCGCTGGAGTAATATTTTACAGAATGGTTTAAGTGAGGAGAATATTCAAGTTCTTCTCCAAAAACATATAATACC